TGCTTGAAACTGGTCCCTGGTACAAAAAAGGTTGGGGACCACTGGTTTACAGAATCAGCCCAAAACAATCTGGGTACTCATTATACCAACCATGGAAGGATGGATGGCCAAGTCAACCTTGAGCCTGGTGAGATTTGAACTGACAACTTGCAGGCAGTCAGCAGAAGTGGCCTGCAGTACAGCACTCTAACCACTGTGCCACCGAGGCTCTTGGTTGCTCTTCTCTGCACACTTTCTAGAGATTCAACATCTTTTTTACAGTGTGGTGACCAAAACTGGATGCAGTACTCTAGGTGTGGCCTTACTAAGGCTCTATAGAGTGGTATTAGTACCTCCCTTGATCTTGATTGTATCCCTCAATGCAATTTAGGATTGCATTGGCTTTTTTGGCTGCCACCTCACCCTCCTGTTTCTCCAGACTGTCTCCCATAATCCCCTGCCAGTGTGAATTTTGTACTCTAGATTGGGGAAAGCTGCCTTAAATTCAAATTTTGCAAATTTTATGAAAATTTGGAAAGTCATGCTATCTGACGACAAGGGAACAGAAAAACACAAGGAAAATATGGAAGTGGCTGATAAAACAGAAGTAAAGCAGCAAAAAGAGAAATGAAGGTGTTGGGAGAGGTTTTGGGGTGACGAAACATCTTCACTGGCCTTCTTTCTGACAACAAAGAGGAAGTGATGATCCAAGAGAAGATGATTGGATTTACAGGCTGCCCTGGGCAAAGAAAATGGAGAAAGGTCTGGGCAAAAGACAACTGATCCCTTCACTCGAAGGCTCAAGGGAATGAGTTCGTTTTTCTCCAGAAATCCTAGGTGGTTTGGGGAGAAAGTGACTTTTGCATGACTTCTCGAAATGCAAAACTAGGAAGCCAGACAAACGCTTGTGAACTCCCCAAGTCTTCTGTTGAAGAAGGGGATCGTAACTCTAGTGGGGGAAAAACATATTATACAACTGCTTCCCCACACACCCACTTCCCAGTCTCCGTTTCTGTTGCTCCCCTCTGGGAGGAGGTTTTAAAGTATTTCTAGCAGGACTACCAGATTCTGCAACAGCTTTGTTTCCTTGTGCCATCCGTCTGGTAAACTCGCAAGATTTGTTTCTCTTGCCGTAGACACATATACATCCAAACTAGACTTTTGTTGTTTCTCTGTGTCACATAATATATTACGTGGGTATAAGCATAATTTGGTATTTATTTATTTTGTCATGTTTATGTAGTGTATATTGGAGGTGGTGGCCCTTTGAGAGCTGAAATGCAATGAAATTTCATTTTAATGTATGCTGATTGGCATACATTCAAAATGACAATAAAGTTCTTCTATTCTATCCATTCCATTTCATTCTTCATTATTCTATTCTATCCATTCCATTCCATGTCATTCTTCATTATTCTATCCATTCCATTCCATTATTCATTATTTTATTCTATTCTATCCATTCCATTCATTCTATTCTATCCATTCCATTCCATTCTTCATTATTTTATTCTATTCCATTCTATCCATTCCATTCCATGTCATTCTTCATTATTCTATCCTATCCTATCCTATCTTATCCTATCCTATTCTATTCTATTCTCTCTGTACAGTCATATATATTCCTTCCATAGACACATATTCTGTATATTCATAGATATTCTGTATATCCATATATAGTTACATATTTTGTATAGTTACATATTTTGTATATCTGTATATATATCTTTATACTTCATTGTTGTTTTGCACTTCTGATTAGAAGTACATTTTGTTGCATTCATGTGCAATGACAATAAAGTTTAATCTTTTCTCTTCTCTTCTCTTCTCTTCTATTCTATTCTATTCTATTCTATTCTATTCTATTCTATTCTATTCCTATACATTACATTACATTACATTACATTACATTACCTGGACTCCTTTGGGGCAATGAAGCCAGAGGTGGCATTCAGCCGGTTCTGACCAGTTCTGGAGAACCAGTAGTGGAAATTTTGAGTAGTTTGGAGAACCAGAAAAACCACCTCTGACTGGAGATTTTACACTATCCTTCCCCTGCCACGCCCACCAAGCCACGCCCACAGAACCGGTAGTAAAAAAAAATTGAATCCCACCACTGAATGCAGCCCTGTAGTGTCTATTCTACCCTTCCCTGTCCCTGGTGTTCTTCAAGTCCTACCAGATATGCAGGGTCTGCAGGAGAGGACCTTTGGTAGTAGGGCCAACACAACCGCCCCAAATTCTCTGCAGATTTTCAACACTCCAGGCAGAAAATTAGAACAAGCAGAGGGCGAGGGGCTGAATTGAAAAATTAGGCTACGCGCTTCAGCCCAGAAGACTGAATCTGGCACTGCTGCCTCCTTTTCGTTGGTTGCCTTTTTTCCTCCCCTCCCTGCAAAAAAAAAGAAAAATTCCAAACAAAACATTTGGCCCAAATCTCAAAATCCTTTCTTTGCTGAACAGTTCAATGCTGCTGGACATTGAACTCTTTTTTTCCCCCCTCTTTTGCTAAGCTTTCCTTGGTCACCCTGGCAGCCAAGAAGGGCTGTTGCCATGCAACACAGAAAAAAAAACACACAACTCAGATACCTGGGGAAGGGCGTGCTAAAATCCAGGCGCTTTTTCTGGCCTTTTTGCACATGGGACGCTTCTGGTGTCGCCACAGCAAACATTTGCAATTATATGGTGGAAAAAAACCCACAAAGACTCTTTTCTTTTTTTCTAGAAAGACTTTTTTTTCTAACCAGGTGTGAGACACAGATCTGGACTGCTGCACCGGTTGAAGACTTGAAGGAGTGCGGTGTGGAGTGTGAATTTCTGCAGTTGCACAGGCTGAGTCTTTGCAAAGATGCCTCTTCCAAAGAAAAGAAAAGTGAAAAAAACAAGGAAGCCGAAGTCATCCGTTCCAGGTAAAGTTCAGTGCAGCGATGCCAAAAAACAAAAACAAAAAAAAAAACCTCAGGTTTGCCGGCAAAGTTCTTCCTTCACATTCCTTTCATGGAAAGTATTATACAAGAATACTAATCGATCTCTTGCAGAGAGGAGGAGGAAATGAAATCAGAACTGATTTAATTACTGGTGGCTTTCAAGAAGAGACTGGACTGCCCGTTTGTCAGCAATAGTGTAGGCAGGGTCTCCTGCTTGGGGGGGGGGGGTTGGACTAGATGACCTACAAGGACCCTTCCAACTCTGTTAAACTGTTTAAGAACCAATACCAAACCGTTACTTATTTTGCATGCTTGGGAGCAAGGCTTTTCACATTTG